GCCTTGGCTGATTGAACAAACGTAGATCTATGATGTTGTACGCTAGTACACAGTGCTTCTCGTTACCCTGTTTCCGTCCTGTCTTTGAACATATCTGGAGAGAGGTTCAGGGGCCAGATTGTTGATACATTTAAAAACAAGTTTAAGGAAACATAAGTGCATAAAGCTCTGAAAACTGAGTAGATTGTGTTTTTTCAGCATGTGACAGTGATGCCAGCAGACAGGTTTTTTGTCCATTATTTTCAGGGCCTGGTTGTATACTGATGATAGGTTTCTGATTGTAGAGGGTGAAACTTGTGACCAAACTGTCATACAGTATGATAAATGTGAGAAAATCATTGAATGCATGAACACCTGTGCTGCTTGAGTTGGTATGTAGTGTCTTATTAATTTAAAGCAGTTCAGGTTGTTCTTGATTGTTTTTGTGATTTTATTTACGTGTTTATCAAACTTGAGTTATGGATCTAAAATTTAAACTCACTAACTTCCTCTATTTCTCTATTCTGTATCTTAACGTTAAAACTTCCAGGTGAGCACATTTTCCTAATGGAGAAACACATTGAAACTGTTTTACTCTGATTCAAAACAAGATGGTTGCATTCCAGCTACTGATGGACATTGCAAAGGTACTCAGTTAGGATCTCAGCTGCCTTGATTGGTGACTTAGCAGGAGCATATATAACTCCATCATCTGCATAAAGCTGGAAGCCGGCTACTGGACAGGATTTAGGCAAATCATTTATAAACAGACTGAAAAGCAAAGGGCCAAGAATTTACCCTTGGGCAATACCCATTGTATTGATTAAAGGAGAGGATTTTTCTTGGTCAACTTTCACACACTGTTCTCTATTCTGAAGGTAAGACTCAAACCAGTCAATTTATTTTTTCGAGAAATTGAAAGATGGTAACTTAGACAGGAGAATGTCATGGTTGACAGTGTCAAATGCCTTCTTTAAGTCAAGAAACACAGCTCCAACAACATAACCACCATCAAGTGAATGCTTTACATTCTCAATGAAAAAAGTATTTGCAGTTTCTGTTGAATATTTTGGTCTGAAACCAAATTGTTGAGGATGTAAGAGTTGATTTGTCTCCAGATGGTCAAAAACCTGTGCCGCCACAACCTTTTCAAGTACCTTTGACATTACAGGGAGAATAGAGATAGGGCGGTAGTTGCTCACCAAATCGCAGTCACCTGTTTTAAAGATTGGTGTAATGACTGCCTTTTTCCAGTTATTCGGAAATGTAATAATTGATTAAAAGTTCTAATTGATAAATCAATAAGATCAGAGGTGTAATCAGTATAGAGCTATATTTTTTAATGAATTGAGCATCCAAATTATAAACGTCATTAGCCTTAGAATTTGATAGTTTCTTGATTACTTTTGCACATTTTATTTCAGTTATCTCTTTAATACAAAAGGATGATGTTATAGACTCTGTGTTATTTGTGTATTGAGGTGAATTATGAATGGATTCCAGGTTTTTATTAAAGGCTGATATATTGTTATTTTTGCAGGCTGCGATTCTTTCTATTACAATGTGTTCTGTGAGTAGGTTGGTCCAGTGAGTTATGTTGCAGTATGTTTTTGATTTCCAGTTCTGATCGATGATTTTCTTGGCGATAAATAGATAGATAGATAGAGAGATAGATAGATAGATAGATACTTTACTGATCCCGAGAGAAATTCAAAGCATCCAGTAGCAGGTTACAAAGACGTACATGAAACATTTGTTACAAATTAACCACAAAACCGACCCCCCCCCCCCCACACACACACACACACACACACACACACACACACACACACACACACACACACACACACACACACACACACATATATATTAACCCGAAAAAAAGATTAAAATAATACCCCTAGATGAATCAAACTTAAACTGTGCAATTAAAAAATAGACTTATACAAGAAATGTACATAACCGGTGCAGGGATTATGCATGTGTAAACAAGAATTTATAAACAGTTGAGGGAAAAATCTGTAATTAGACCTGATCTGTAATTAGACCTGAGAAACGAGTAGCGGGTTTTTGTAGTTATTTGAGATGGTGATTTGTGATGTGTCTCCAAGTAAGCAAGGTAATGGGGACAGGAGGATTCTGCAGCCCAAGATAGTGGAGAGATTTTCAGTGACTGTGATCCAAAATGAGTGAACTGGTTGACAGGCCCAAGTGGCGTGAAGATCTGTGCAACCATGAGTGCATTGTGAACAGATGTGTGTTAGCTAAACCCATTTTGAACATTTTACCTTGAGTGATGTGTGTCCTGTGGATGGTTTTGTATTGTATAAGTTGTAAATTTGTATTATTGGTCATAGAAAAGATGTTTTTATTGATTTGTATCCAGAAGTCAGGGTTGGGGCGCAGCGTCAGATCCTTTTTCTATTTTGTAGTGGGGAGTGTAATGGAGGTTGTTGATGTGGCTATAAGTTTATAAAGTTTAGAGATGATTTTTTTTTAATTACCGTATTGATTTTCATGATTTCTTCACTTGATGATTTTATGAACACACACCCTCTTTTTCTGTGCTGCTCATCTCCCTCTGCGCAGCAGCAGAAAAGTCTGGGCTTTTTTCTCAAAGTGTACACAAAAGCCTACATGTGCTGTGGCAGGTCTACTTTCCCGAGATATTTTCCTGACTATTGTTTCAGTCACATAGCAACGCACACTGTTGATTTTTGCTCGTGTGCGCTCTCCCCTTTCGCTCTGCATGTCATTCCCCACTCTCTCCCTGGTTTCCTTCTCTATCCAATGTCCTATCCAATACAGGCAAAAGCCCAAAAATAAAATCTATAAAAAAGATCAGCATTGACCGGGATCCACAGGGTCCATGTTTTATACAGATTACGATTAAAAGCCATAATCTTAGCCCATAAACATATATTTCTGTATTAATGAATGGTATATATTAACTTTTCAGTATTCATAGTTAATAGTCAATATATAATTCAATTAGTGCTGTTTGGATCTACGTATATAAAATAGTAAAGATGCTCTGTAGTTTGTGTATTTGAGTCAGGGATTACTCTTTTGGCAGATACCCTCAAAACTTGCCCCAGTTACGGTGATGAGCACTCAAAGGTTCCTTTTACTTTAAAGATTAAATCATCCATTAAACAAAAGACAACTTTTACTTTGATATTAAAGTAATTGAACAGTATATATTCCCTTACCTACAATCAGGGCAACCCTGAGATGTATTGTTTGTTCTTCTTTAAATTGGACTCTGTGGAAGTATTGTGTCATCATTCTCATTAAGTGGCCATGAATTTGTTTTGCACTCTTTGTTTGTTATTGCTAGAAAACAACGGGGCCCAGGATGAGAAGGTGAGACAATCCAGGAAGAGTGTATGTGTGTGTGTGTGTGTGTGAGTGAGTTTGTATTCTTTTGTGTTTATGTTAAGAGGCAGCGCAGGGACTGACAACCCCCTCTTACATTCACACCTCTAATTGGAGTGTTGCATTTCATCATCCAGCAGGAGACTTATGAAGTGCAGTCTATTTTTAAATAAAAACTTTGACTTTTGAAGTAAAGAGATCTTTGTTTTTTAAACCATGATACTTTTAACACCAATATCAGTATAAAATTGCATTGCAGTCGTTGAAGATCCCAAGGGAATCATATTACAGGACCTTGGCAATGTTGACAGTCCTTTTTCCAGTTTCTTTTTTTTGGAAATCCTAAAGTATGTCTCAATTAAGCAGCAACCTTCGGTGTTGAACAATGAAGCCGATGTGGAAGTGCAAAAATCCTGCAGTTCATAAAGAGTCCACTTGAGGCTATCTGCAGAAGCACAGGAAGTCACATAAACACCCATTTAAATAAGCCTGTTTTTACAGCATAAATTAACATGTTTACAGCCTTGTACAAAAAACAAATAGATCTGATTAGCTCATGTCTCGATCGGCAAACAATGTACTGTTCATTTTTTGATGACTCATCAGTTTTGATCTGATGAAGGATAAGAGTTATTCAAAATAAGGCGTGTAGCTGATCTGATTGAGAGGCGGTCGCGAAGTAATGGTTTGTCAAGAGACTTAAAACCCGCCTCAGCTCCAGCTCTCAGCCTGTCGTTAGATTGACTGAAAGGATGAGACAGCATTTTTAGCATGGAGACCACCATCGATGGGATTCCAAAGCCATTTGCAAGAACGTCACTCAGGCTTTGTCATTAATATCAACAATCTGTTGTCTCAGTGAGACTAGAGGCTTGCATCGCCGACACACTTTCACTATCCTCACCAGCCGACACTACCTGCTTCAATCCCCACCATCTGACAGTGCTTGACAGAGCCTCTTACATCTGTCGTATTTTAGTCATACTGTTCTGGCTCCTTACACTAATACAGTTTTTCTATTCTATAAACGGATTTTCTATTCATATTGTATCTATTCCAAATACCGTTGTGATTTTATAGCGGAGACAAGCAACATGTCCTCTCCAAAAATGTGGAACTACAAGTAATTTGAACTGCCCTGTTTCCAAAGGTGCAAAAGTTCTCCAACAGAATCAAAAGTGTTCAGCTGGCACACTTTGTGAGTGCTTCTCTCTGCTTCTCTAACCCCCACCCCCGATTAAAACAAAATCAGTAGTCAAGACGGGCAAAACCAACCTGAGGAAGAGAATATGTTTACGGATGAGTTAATATATATAAACTATATACTATATATATTGTATATAGTTTGGTTTGAAAACATGTACTAATCCTATTTTTTGTTTTGCATCTCATGCAAAAAGCTGATTGGACAATAATTATGACAGTGAGGTAGGTGTGAAGAGGTATATTGGTTCTGCACAGTGGTACATGTCACTAGAACACACATTCATATGAACAGGTTGGATATGAAAAATATGCAGGTTCATTCATTTAACTATTTAACTGACTGTTAAAGACTTCATTGTTAATTGTAACTATTTTTTTAATGCTTTTTTTCTGAATTGCTTCTAAATACATTGTATTGAATAGTAGGATACTAAATCATGGAACCAGAAGTCTCCTACAATAGGACTGCCATTGTCATAGGCGTACATCCCTGCTATGAGATCAATGATTTCAATTATATTATGACAAAACACCCTTCCATTTTATGTGTTTTATTATTTATTTTCCTTGTATTATTGTCTGTTGTCACAGTGTGTGGGAACCTTCTGGTTATTATCTCTGTCATTTACTTCACACAGCTGCACACTCCTACAAACTATCTTATTCTCTCTGTGGCTGTTGCTGACCTTCTTGTGGGCATTATAGTCTTTCCTCTAAGCATGGCGTTTTCTCTGAGCTCATGTCTGTATCATGAGGATTTATTTTGCAAAGTACGAAGCAGTTTTGATGTGACACTTAGTACATGTTCTATTCTGAACCTGTGTTGTATTTCCATTGATAGATATTATGCAGTGTGTCAGCCCCTGCTGTACAAAACTAAAGTCAACCATCGTACTGCTGTGATCATGATCCTGGTCAGCTGGGGGGGTTCTGCTCTGATTGGGATTGGTATCTTAATTGCTGGATTGAACAATGAAAAATGTGTTGAAAGATGTTTAATAGATGCTCTTACTGAAAACATCATTGGTCCTATTTTATCATTTTACTTCCCAGTGATCATTATGCTCTGCATCTACCTCAAGATTTTCCTCGTGGCACAGAAACAGGCTCGCAGAATCCAGATCAAACCCAGCCAGAGCACAAAGTCTGGAGTAACTATCAGTAAGATGGAAAGAAAGGCCACCAAAACTCTTGCTATTGTTTTGGGAGTTTTTCTCTTATGTTGGACTCCTTTCTTTCTCTGCATCACCTTCTCACCTTTAAGTGATAACTCAGTTCCAGTCCCTGTCATTGAAACACTTAACTGGCTTACACTGTTAAATTCAATGCTTAATCCTTTTATTTACGCTTTCTTTTACAGCTGGTTCAGATCAGCTTTCACTATTATAATTTCTGGAAAAATATTTCGAGGTGATTTCACAAACACAAGACTGCTAAAATAGGCTTTTAAAATGTTGATAATGTCACAGAATAGTAACCCCTTAAAACAAACAATTATTAGCCAGAGTTACTTTACCAAGGTTACGTTTTCAAGGTTTTGGTGGTATCTTATTTTTGGTTCATATGTTGTTGTCTATATGACCCGTGTGTGATGTTGTAATGTTTGTTAGTTTGTTCTTACTGTGTTATCTTGATCTTTCTTACTTTTCTCCCCTTCTTTTATTTGAACAAAGTACAGTGTCTTCTGTAAAATGTAGTATTATTATAACTATTATCTTTGTGTGGTTTTGTCTTTGGTTGTGATTATTTCCCCAGCTACGATGCCTTTTGCTGTCTGTCATTTTGGTCTTTGACCTTGCGCTTTACATTGTGATTTACGGTTTGGAAAATAGCCTTAGAGTTCTAGCTTTCTCTCCTTCCTAGCAATGTAAAATAGAGGTGTTTTTGAATCTCCGCCCAGCTTGTTTTATTAATTTTATGATTAGAGGAACACTTTTTTCTTCTTTCTCACACCTGTAGTTGATGGGTCCTTGTCTATACAGATTCTGTGTTTCCACTACAACAGTTTGACTTAAGGGGGGCTTAAAGGGGCTTATTTAATGCTGAAGCTGTTAAAAGGATGGAACAGAAGTGGTAAACTGCACATGAGGAAAGGAACACAAGACAGTTTGGGTATGATAAGAACATTTCTTTGTACAGAAAACGTTATTTGGTATTCATCGTAATTAGTTGTGCTATGGACATTCAGGGGAATCCAAAAGGATAGAAACGGTGCTGGATGCAGCCAGAAAATTTCTTGATGTGATCAATATTACCGGAGAGGAACTTGACACCACAACAAGAAAAGGACTAGCACAGACTCAGACAACTGAGTCTGATTCATGGAGGGACAATGTTATGAAAGGGGAGCACTTTGGGGGGACTTTATAAATATTATGCACTGTCAAGCTATATAAAAAAAGGGTTAGGGTTAGTAGGTGGCGGTAATGCAACACATATGGATACCAACTGCCATTAAACCCCACAGAAGAAGAAGTTTCTATTTACCTTCTCTCTTGTCTGTTTATGACGAGGAGGGACAACAAATTACTTGAGTAGAAATTAATACATGAATTAATAAATAAATGAAAATATGAATACATAAATGCAGTGTGGCAATACACAATGAATGGGCTTGCAAGTGGTGTGCTGCGCCCACTGCGTCCTATCTGAAAGTTCCTTTCAATCAATCAATCAATAAATCAATCAATCTTTATTTGTATAGAATCAACTCACAACAAGTGTTATCTCGAGACACTTCAAAAGCAGGTAAAACACCTTACCCGTTGTTTAATAATATTACAAAAGAGCAGGTAAAAAGACCTTACTCATTGTTATGTTACAAAAAGCCGGTAAAAGACCTTACTTATTGCTATATTACAAAGACTGGCTTAATCCATCATGAGCACTTTAGCAAAGCAGCAAAGTTACAGTGGTAAGAAAACTGCCTTATTAAAAGGCAGAAATCTTCAGGCCGGATCCTCGGTTCATAATGGAACAGCCTTCACAGGCCTAGACTGCACTGGGCTCGAAAAAGGGATATAGTAGAGGAACAAACCCCCAAAAGGCTTTGGTTTTCAAGATACCCCTACCCGAGGTAGAACAAAGCACGACCATATTTTTTCATAACTTGAACATGTCTAGTTTATGAAACGGATTGTTGTATAAAAATATTTTACTGCAAAATAACTTTTTTTGCATGTTTTATGCATCTTACCAAAAAACGAAAGTAGGTCAAATTAGGGCTTCTCCAAAAGGGACAGCTCTAGCCTTATCACATGTATCTCTAGGAATCAGAATCAGAATTTCACCAAATTTGGACAGGATGTTTACAGATAGTTATTAGTTACAATTATGCAAAGTTTTTATCAATACCAATTTCAATTTTTGAATTTTTCACACTTAAACACACTTGTAGTTTAGGCGGAAATTGAAAATTGAAACAAAAATTCAAAAGGTATGTATATCAAAGTCTGTCATTTTTTAATTAAGGACACCAAACATTAAAATATGTCATTTGTATCTTCTTTAGACTGTTGGTTGTGTTGTCTTTGGTTATGGTGCCTTGATTTGGTTGTGTTGTCTTTGGTTGTGTTGTCTTGATTTGGTTGTGTTGTCTTTGGTTGTGTTGTCTTGATTTGGTTGTGTTGTCTTTGGTTGTGTCGTCTTTGGTTGTGGTGTCTTGATTTGGTTGTGTTGTCTTTGGTTGTGTTGTCTTGATTTGGTTGTGGTGTCTTGATTTGGTTGGGGTGCCTTGATTTGGTTGTGTTGTCTTTGGTTGTGTTGTCTTTGGTTGTGGTGTCTTGATGTGTTTGTGTTGTCTTGATTTGGTTATGTTGTCTTGATTTGGTTGTGTTGTCTTTGGTTATGGTGTCTTGATTTGGTTATGTTGTCTTGATTTGGTTGTGTTGTCTTTGGTTATGGTGTCTTGATTTGGTTATGTTGTCTTGATTTGGTTGTGTTGTCTTTGGTTGTGGTGCCTTGATTTGGTTGTGTTGTCTTTGGTTGTGGTGTCTTGATTTTTTTGTGGTGCCTTGATTTGGTTGTGTTGTCTTTGGTTGTGTTGTCTTGGTTTGGTTATGTTGTCTTGATTTGGTTGTGGTGTCTTGATTTGGTTATGTTGTTTTGATTTGGTTGTGTTGTCTTTGGTTATGTTGTCTTGATTTGGTTGTGTTGTCTTTGGTTATGGTGTCTTGACTTGGTTGTGTTGTCTTTGGTTGTGGTGCCTTGATTTGGTTGTGTTGTCTTTGGTTGTGGTGTCTTGATTTTTTTGTGGTGCCTTGATTTGGTTGTGTTGTCTTTGGTTGTGTTGTCTTGATTTGGTTATGTTGTCTTGATTTGGTTGTGGTGCCTTGATTTGGTTGTGTTGTCTTTGGTTGTGGTGTCTTGATTTTTTTGTGGTGCCTTGATTTGGTTGTGTTGTCTTTGGTTGTGTTGTCTTGATTTGGTTATGTTGTCTTGATTTGGTTGTGGTGTCTTGATTTGGTTATGTTGTCTTGATTTTTTTGTGGTGCCTTGATTTGGTTGTGTTGTCTTTGGTTGTGTTGTCTATGGTTGTGTTGTCTTGATTTGGTTATGTTGTCTTGATTTTGTTATGTTGTCTTGATTTGGTTCTGTTGTCTTGATTTGGTTCTGTTGTCTTTGGTTATGGTGTCTTGATTTGGTTGTGGTGTCTTGATTTGGTTATGTTGTCTTGATTTGGTTGTGTTGTCTTTGGTTGTGTGTCTTGATTTGGTTGTGGTGTCTTAATTTAGTTATGGTGTCTTGATTGGTGTTGTCCTGATTTGGTTATGTTGTCTTGATTTGGTTGTGTTGTCTTTGGTTGTGGTGTCTTGATTTGGTTGTGGTGTCTTGATTTGGTTGTGTTGTCTTTGGTTGTGGTGTCTTGATTTGGTTGTGGTGTCTTGATTTGGTTGTGTTGTCTTTGGTTATGGTGTCTTGATTTGGTTATGTTGTCTTGATTTGGTTGTGTTGTCTTTGGTTGTGGTGTCTTGATTTGGTTGTGGTGTCTTGATTTAGTTATGGTGTCTTGATTTGGTTATGTTGTCCTGATTTGGTTGTGTTATCTTTGTTTGGTTGGTTGACATTGTTGATGGTTATTTTCTGCAGCAGTTGTTTTCTTAAAGCTCCTGGGAGGATTGTTTTGGTTGGGTATGGAGCTCACTTAAACTGATATCGTGAAATGGTTTACAAACGCAAACAAGATCTTAAGATAGAATATATTTTCTTCTGTGAAGTTATTCTTATTCGTTACTGCTTTCAGCGGGTTGGTGTCATTTTCTACAGCCAAGATTCAGAGTTAGGGATATATTTGACGGTTCAAACTTGGCAGAAGGAGATTTTTCATCAGTAAACACAACTTACACAAGCACAGGACAAGATCAGCGAAGAGATAAGAGGTCAAACTTTGTCTCCAGGGGATGCTTAGTGTGACACAACGGTTTTTAGTTGTACGGTGTTAAGCTCTCAGGTTCACAGCCATATTGTCTTAAGTGGAAATTCATCTTTGTAATTAGCATTTAAAATCAAATGTCATTATATATAATGAGGTAAAATAAGTGTATAAAGAAGTTTTTTATAAACATGTTTGCATGATTGTTATCCTAATTTACTTACACACATTTACGCCATCATAAGAATTGTTTTGTATCCCAGCTCCATTGGTTGCCTGATAAATTCAACAAAATCTTTTTAACACTTTATCATACTTATGGTATTAAAAACTATCCCTTCATCCAGTGTATTCTCTGGAGTAACTAGGGTTCATCTTAAAAGCAGGAGATATGGTGACTACACACCATCTTTATATGACTGAAATACATAAAAAAAAACTACAACAGGCTGTATGGGCGATATACAAATAGACTATATGAGGAATATTTAATTTCTAAGAACTTAAGGTTATATATATCAATATTGTTTTTTAGTTCATTAAGATTTCACAACTGATGTCAAGACAATGCTTTAATTTTTTAGAATGAAATAGAAACAATGTCATAGGTGACAATATTGTTAAAAGCAGCGAGTGTCATCATATAAATCATATGTAAGATAGAAATATGAGACAAAATTTATTAGGAATAACTATAAAATGTTTAATTACATATATATTACAGAATACAATTATATTGTGTCTTGTTAAGTCTTAATCTATTGTTTGTGGCCACCTCCTCCCACATACACATCCATAGGGCCCCATTTACCAGGTCGCCCTGAAATCCTGGCTGCACTAGTTTCCTGTTAGGGGCTGGTGACAGCACAGGGTCAAGTGAAAAGTCAAAAACTTGCTTTTATGTTGAGATAACAGTCTAAAGAAGATACAAATGACATATTTTAATGTTTGGTGTCCTTAATTAAAAAATGACAGAATTTGATATACATACCTTTTGAATTTTTGTTTCAATTTTCAATTTCTGCCTAAACTACAAGTGTGTTTAAGTGTTTTTGAAAAATTCAAAAATTG